CCATACCATGCTATCACAATATTATTGACTATATTCCCTATGCTGTGCATCACATCTCCATGACTTACTTGTTTTGTAACTGGAAACTTGTACCATTTATTGCCTTTCATCTTTTCCACCCCTTTTTAAATTTTTCAGTTACAGTTGACACTCAATATTATTTTATATTAATTTCAGGTGTACAACACGTGGTTTGACACTTATATAACTTAAGAAGTGATCCTCCTGACTAGTTTAGGACCCACCTGGCACTATACATAGTCATGACCATATTATTGACTATATTCTCTATGCTTTACTTCACATCTCCATGATTATTTTGTAACTACCAATTTGTACTGCTTAATCCCTTCACCTTTTTCAACCTGACCCTCAAACCCCCTCCTATCTATTACTCTGATAAATCTAGTATCCATCTGACACCATATGTAGTTATTACAATATTATTGTCTATAATTCTTATGCTATACCCTATATCCTCATGACTACTGTGTAACAACCAATTTGTACATCTTAATCCCTCCCCCCTTTTCACCCAACACCCCAACTCCCCTCCCATCTGGCAACCGTTAAAATGTTCTCTGTATCTATGAGTTTGATTCTGTTTTGTTAGTTTATTTTGTTCTTTTTAAAAATTTTTTTATTGGGGAATTGGGGGGATGGAACAGTGCTGGGGAATTGGGGGAAGGGGAACAGACAAGTTGCTGTCGTTTTGTTCTTCAATCTAGTTGTGGAGGATGTTGCTTCACTGGCCCAAGTTGGCACCATCATTGCGCTCTTCCCTGGCGAGGCAGATCAGTCGCCGGCTTCTGGACGGCCACTCACTGCGGCTGCTGGCCGCTCACGCTGGCTGCTGGCTACATACGGTAGCCCATGGCAATCCACTGCCACAGGGACTGCAGCCTACGCCGTCGCCGGCGACTCACGGCAGCCCAGCTCCAGGTTGAGCTGTTGTTCAGCATCTTAGCTGTAGAGGGCAGTGTCACTGGTCCTCATATGTGGGATCCGAACCGGGGCCCTCTGGTGTCCCAAGCGAGTTCTTAACCATCGCGCCACTCGGCCGGCCCTATTTTGTTCTTAAGATTCCACATATAAGCAAAATCACATTGCATCTGTCTTTCTCTGTCTGACACACTCCACTCAGCACAATACCATCCAGGTCCATCCATGCCTCCACAGATGGCAAGAACCCATTCCCTTCCCTAGCTGAGCAATATTCCATTGTATATATGTACCATCTCCTCTTTATCTACTCTTCTATCGACAGATACCCAGGCTGCCTCCACATGTTGGCCATTGTAAATGATGCTGCAATGAACATATGGATGCACATGTCCCCTCAAAGTAGCATTTTGGGTTTCTTCAGATGGTTACCCAGAATTGGGATTACTGGGTTCTTCTTTACCTCTTGGTATAGGCTTTGATTTAAAATCTATTTTGTCTAGTATAAGTATTGCCACTCCAGTTTTTTTTTGTTGTTGTTTTTTAATTTCCATTTTCATGAAATAACTTTTTCCAAAATAACTTCACTTTTGGTCTGTGTATGTCTTTCCAACTGAAGTGAGTCTCTTATAGGCAGCATATGTAAGGGTTTTGTTTTCTTGTCTTTTCAGCCACCCTATGTTTTTTATTGTACATTTAATCCATTTACATTGAAAGCAATTGTTGATATATAGTTATTGCCATTTTATTATTCATATTTTTGGCTTTTTTTTTTTTAATCTTAAAGAAGTCCCTCGAACATTCTTTGTAATACTGGTTTGGTGGTGATGAACTCCTTTAGTTTTTTCTTGTCTGGGAGGCTCTTTATGTGTCCTTTGATTTTAAATGATAGCCTTGCTGGGTAGAGTACACTTGGTTGTACAAGGTCAGACAGTTAAGTTCGCAAACTTGTTGCAATGATGCCGCTAACCTTTTTTTTTTGCTATCAGAGGGATTATTCATTATGAATTTGTACCAACTAGACAAACAGTTAACCAAGCTTACTATTTGGAAGTGCTGAAAAGACTGCATGAAAAAGTTAGACTACTTGAACTTTTTGCCAATAACTCTTGTTTCACTTGTTGGCAAAAAGGGGCTTTTGCATCACAACAATGCACCAGCTAAATGGCACTGTCTGTGAGGGAGTTTTCAGCCAGTAAACAAATAACTGTATTGGAGCACCTTCCCTACTCACCTGACCTGGCTCCCAGTGACTTCTTTCTTTACCTGAAGATAAAGGACATATTGAATGGAAGACATTTTAATGACATTCAGGACATCAAGGGCAATATGACTACAGCTCTGATGGCCATTCCAGGAAAAGAGTTCCAAAATTGCTTTGAAGGGTGGACTAGGTGCTGGCATTGGTGTATAGCTTCCCAAGGTGAGTACTTGGAAAGTGACTGCAGTGATATTCAGCAATAAGCTATGTAGTACTTTTTCTAGGATGAGTTCGTGAACTTAATTGTCAGACTTCATAGGTCCTTGTTTTCCATCACTTTGAATATTTTGTGCCAATCCTTTCTGGCCTGCAAAGTTTCTGTTAAGAAACCAGCTGACAGTCTTATGGGAGCTCCCTTGTAGGTAACTACCTGCTTTTCTCTTGCTGCTTTTAGGATTCTCTCTTTGTCTTTAACATTTGCCATCTTAATTATAATGTGTCTTGGTATGGGCCTGTTTGGGTTCATCTTGTTTGGGACTCTCTATGATTTCTGGGCTTGTATGTTTATTTCTTTTGCCGGGTTAAGAAAGTTTTCAGTCATTATTTCTTCAATCCCTTGTTTTCTCTCTTCTCCTTCTGGTACCCCTGTGATGCAAATGTTGTTATGCTTGATGTTGTCCCAGAGGGTTCTTAAACTATCCTATTTTTGTTTGGATTCTTTTTTTATTTTTGCTGTACTGATTGGGTGTTTTCTACTACCTTGTCTTCCAAATCGCTGATTTGATCCTCTGCTTCATTTAGTCTGCTGGTGATTCCTTCTAGTGCATTCTTCATTTCAGTTCTTATATTCTTTGTTTCTGACTTGTTCTCTTTTTTTTGTGGTTTCACTGTCCTTTTTTATGCTTGCTATCTATTTATTGAAGTTCTCACTACGTTCCTTGAGCATCTTATAACCGTTGTTTTGAACTCTGTATCTGGTGGGTTGCTTGCCTCCGTTTTGTTTAGTTCTACTTCTTTTTCTAGAGTTTTCTCCTGTCCTTCATTTGGGACGTATTTCTTTGTTTCCTAATTTTGGCTGCCTCTCTGTGTTTGTTTCTATGTATTAGGTAGGGCTGCTATGTCTCCCAGTCTTGCTGGGTGGCCTTATGTAGTAGGAGTCCTCTGGGGCCCAGTGGCACAGTCTCCCTGGTCACCTGAGCTGGGTGCTGTAAGAGTGTCCCTTGTGTGGGCTGTGTGTGCTCTCCTGTTACATAGTTGAGACTTGATTGCTGTTGGCATGTTAGTATGAGGTACTGACCTTCAGGCTGACTGGCTGTGAGGTTTGGCCATGTCCACAGCTTATGGTCTGCTGTGAGGGGGGCTTACCCCACAGAGTGGGATTTGTCCCAGTGGGCTCTTGTGCTTGCTGAGACCACCCTTTGTGTGTGCCACTTGTGGGGTTAATTGGGTGGTGCTTTGCTGTGGTCTGAAGCCAACCTCCAAGTATGTTGGTTCTGGGGCCTCTTGCAAGGGGCTCCAGTGCAAGCGCAGGTCAGCCATTGCCTGTGACTGGCAGGGGATTACTTGCTAGGAGCTACAAAGCAATCCACTGTCTGTTACTGCCCTATGCTGTACCTGGAGGCAAGTGGGAGAGGCCACACTGCAAACTGAGGATGGCTACCACCAGTATCCAGTCTAGGGTAGCTCTGCAAAAATCCAGGACACTTCAAGGCCTGCTTCCACCTGCTGGCTCCCATAAGTTTCAGCTGCTGATTAAGCCTCCTGCAGTATGCAAGTTGGGTAAACCTGGGTCTCAGTGAGTCAGCAGGATGGAGCAGCAGAGCTCACCAAGCCAATCAGATTCAGATTTTTCCTGTAGGGGCGGGCTCGACACAGGAAAGAAGGTGCCCGCCTGTCTGCTGCATGAGAAGAGGGCCCAGCACAGAGAAAATGAGGACTGTTCCTCCAGTCCTTGATGCAAAGTTGCACAATTCAGTCTCTTCCCATATGTCTCTGACACCCCCAGAATCACCATCCCTCCACTGGAGCCCAGGGTGAATGTCTGCATGGGCCCTTTCAGAGAATCTCTGGGTTACCACACCTGGCTGGTCAGAATGCCCCCTGGTTTTCACAGTCATGGGGTTGTGGGGGCTCCTCTTCCAGCACCAGTACTCTGGGCTGGGGAGCCTGGTGTGAGGGGCTGGGGTTCCTTGCTCCTTCGAGGGGAACTTCTCTGGCTGAGATTTCACTCCTGATTTTCACCCACCACATGGAGGTTTGGGATCAGCCCATTCCACATCTCCACCTTTCCTACCAGTCTCAATGTGGCTTCTTTATATCATTAGTTCTGTTCAGCTAGACTTCAGATAGTTCTCCAGGATGGTCGTTCTATAATTTAGTTGTAACTTTGATGTGTTCACGGGATGAGACAAGCACAGAGTTTATGTACTCCGCCATCTTGGATCTCATTCTATAGGTCATTATATTACTGTTATTATAAATAGCACAAATTGTTTTGAGTGCTTAAGAAGAATTTACTTTTCTACCTTTGGCTCCCAGCCTCATTAAAAGGGGAGGATTGCATACTTGTTTGAAAAACCACTTACCAAAAGCATTTAATAGGAGACCTTGTAAAAATATATATAAAAATTCAAAAGTTTATAAAGATCTAATTTTGAATAACAAATTGGTCAAGGTTAAAAACATCAGTATTTTATATAAAACTAGGATCCGCAAGGTGGGTGGGAGGGAAGTGTGTCAAATATTTGTTCCTGAGTAACAGAACTATAAGGGAAGGAATAGTTAATTTAACTGTACAATACCCTGGGCACCCGGTAGGAACCAAAGATCAAGAAGAATAAAACAAAACCTAAGTATGTTATTTTTTGCAGAACTTTTATTTTCATGTCATTTGTAAAAATGTAACAGTAGTTTTAACTTCTCTGTCCCAAGACAAAGAGAAACATCGCGTAATAAACATTAAATAAGGCATTATGCCCTACAAGTAAGACATAAAATGTCCAAGGGAAACGTCAACATCAAACTGTTGACCACATAATGTGGTGTGAAAGTTTCAATAAATAACAATTCTTTTAAACAAGTACAGAAATAGATGTGCACACAGTTTCCCTGACCCTAATATTGATCTCACTGTCCAATTGCTTGGATTCCTCCACCTCTATCACAGTGCCTGGCATTTGATGGCCTCTCAATAAATACTAGTTTAACGAGGCACTTAAAACCGATCATCTTCAAATTAAGTAACAATCAGAACTGACTCATGGTTGATTAAACACATGCACACCTTTAAATACTAACATGTAAGATATTAAAATATGAACTTTGAAAAATAAATAATACATAAATAAATAGGCCTCTCATATAAAAACAGTCAAGCACAGTAATCTCTTTCTAATTGTCCCCGGAAGCCAGTTGTTCTCTTCTTCATTTTCAGTCCCTGTAAGGACAGGGGCCTCCTTTCAGGAACTTCCACCATGAGCTTCTTATTTCTCTCTAGGTCAGTTGGTGCTGCCCCTATGGTGAGAAGAAGATTACTGTTACAGGTGTTAAAGAAAGCTGCTCTTCTCTCACACCGGACCCTGAGGCTGGAGGGATATCTGCATGCAGACCTGGCCCAGCCCTGCACCTGGAGAAGGTCCCGCTATACTTACTACTGTGTATAGCAGAGAGCATGCTCTTTTACTTAAGAAAAGTGGGGCTGTGGACTCAGATTTATCATTGGTTTGAAAGAGCTAAAATGTACTGCTCACTGTCACACTGGGTTAAATATTTACATGCATGACCTCATTTAAGCCTCAAACACTCCAGGGAATAGCTATTATTATGTACTCCACTTTGCTGAGGCTCGAAGGGATTGAAAAACTTTCCCAGGGATCCTACACTGGACCTCAGGGAGGTCTCACTGCAAAGTCCTAAGCTTCCAAGGCCCACGTTGTCCCAGACCAGGGATTCTACTTTTCAGGTTTGAAACCAATACGGGACTGAGGTAAACAATATTTATTCCTTAATGGGTAGGAAGCATTTTAGCTAAATCTACTTAATCTTTTAGGAAGGTATATTTACCCACACTCATTTGACTAAGGGTGGAGGGCACTGGAAATATCCTTCTGGCAACAGAGCACATGAATGACCTTAGTGCCAAATCTAATTGTGAAATAATAATGATTTCCACTCCTTCAGCTAAACCCTGAATTTCCCTGATATAATTCGCTGGAGGCAGATGCTAGTATTGTGACCAATGCGTGAATAAAAACCGTAACTCACTTGTTTAGCATCTTATCGATGATTTTCTTAACCATGGGGGCTGCGGGGTTGAGACAAGCTTCCTGTCCATTCTTGAGCGTGGCTCTGCAGAGAGAAGGGAGAATCCACGTGAGGCAGGAGGTGGGGCTGGGGTCAGGGTGGGGGCTTCGGGACGGTGGAGGTGACAGAGCTGTTAGCAGCAGCAGCGCGAGCAAGGCAGCACTTACATGACTTCGGTTTGGGTGCAGTGGGGTCCCGGGGGTGTCACCTTCACACTCTGGATGTTCTTGAAGGGAATCCCCTGCAAGGTCTTCAAGCACTGGCAGCGCAGCTCACCGACAACGGGCGCCGCTGCGGGGACAACAGACTTGGTTAGCGGGGCTGTCCCCCGATGGGCGCCTAAGGGGTCTGACCCGTCCCGTGTCCCGCCCTTGGGAACCCAGAGCACCAAGTCTCACCTTCTGCGCGCCGGCAGGCGGCGACCAGGAGCAGGAGCAGCAGCGCGGCCCGGAGGAGCCGAGGGGCGCAGGGGGCGGCGGCGGTAGCGGTGCGGGCCATGGCGCTCAGCTCGGAGGTTCGGGTCGGCGGTGCCTGGAGCACGAGAGCTGGCGGGAGAGCTGGCGGAGAGGGCTCTGTGGCTCCCCGACACGAGCGAACCCCTTTTATCCATGGTCGAAGCGGAAAGATCGCAGCCCCAGGGCTAGGGAAATTCCGGGCCTTGGAAATGCGCCGACCCACCCCTGGAGGGCAGGACCCGCGGTGCCGCCCAGCCTGGCCTGCCCCTAACTTGGCTGACTCTGGGATAATCTGTTTCCGCCCAAACCCCAAAAGGGCCGTGAGTGAGTCACCACCAGGCACGAGCGAGCTACAGCCTGTGAGGGGGGGCCGTGGCGCGGGGCGGAAAGGAGGGTCAGACCCCTTAGGCCCATGCCCTTATCGTTAAGGGAGAGAACTACTCCTCTTAAAGACAGTTTAGTTGTTGGAATTGGAAAACATGTGAAGGGAATGGCAGCCTCTCTCATGTATCTATTTATTTTATTTTGAATTTAGGTTTTGCAAATTTTATTTATCTCTGTAATAAACGTATTGTTTAGAAATGCACCTGTCATCTCAGATTACATGTAAAAAACGTTCGTTTTATTCCTGGTGATTTTGAGCTTAGATAGATCACATTTAGTGCCCTATGTTTCCTCGGTGGGGTATGGGGGTAGGGCGAGTGGACAGACCATTGCACAGATTAATTCAGTGTTTATTTTAGAATAAATGTGTTGTAATCTCTCGTCCTCCTTCTCTTTGAAATTCTGGGACTTCCCAAACTCTACTCATGCCAGGAGCACCACTTTTAGTTGTTACAGGAGGCTGCATTTTCATTCATGACAGTTATTGGAGAGCTGTCATGGGCTGTCCACTTTTCTAGTGCTGTCCATGGACAGAAAAGACCGCAGTCACCAGGAGGCTACTCCCGCCATTACTCCTCTGAGCAACAAACAGATGTGGTTTTTCAAAATATGTAAATACTAGATTACTAGTATATTCCATTCCCTGTCGTCTGAATCTGTCTGTCTCCTGGGGTTCTTTCTTGACAAATAACTATCAATGTACTTTAGATTTCTAAGAATGTCTATAAAGCATTCAAAGTCTGTGTAGCTGAAACCTTCTCACTGGATATGGTCTGCCCTCTATGCCAGTTCTATATCCTCCTATTCAACCAACCGCAGATAGAAAATATTAAAAAAACAAAAAACATTGCTGTCCTTGTTGACATCTACTATATAATTAGGCTTATGATGGTTGCACCTGTGCTGACATATAGACTTTTTTTCTTGTCCTTATGTTCTAAACAATACAGTGTAACAATTTATAGAGTACATTGTATTAGGTATTATAAATAATCTTGAAATTATTTAAAGTATATGGGAAGATGTACGTAGTTTATATGCAAATACAACACCGTTTTATATAAGGGACTTGAGCATGGAATGAGGGGTTTGTCCTGGAACCAGTCTTCCATGGATACAGAGGGATGACTGAAATTCACTTTTCACAATCAGCTTCAGTGTCTCGTTTTAGATTAAACTGTAGATGGTTTACGTTAATTCTCCAGAGTAGATGCAGACCTCCAGGAAGTGTGAGATATTCTACCACTGCTGTGAGAAGAGCTGGATGCCAGGAAAGAGGTCTGCCTCAGGAGCAGAGAGAGTTCGGTAATGCTGTCAGGGCTGAAATTTCAGCTACATACTCACTTGCCATATGACCAGCTGACCATGGACAATTTGTATAATATCTCTCTGCTCTTGATTTTCCTCAGTAAAAGTGAGCTAGCCCATCTCACAGGGTTGTTATGAATATTAAATATGCTAACATTTGTAAAACATCAGCAAATATTAAGTGCCATATAAATATTTGTTATATAAGCACAATAGAAAGAGCGTTTTTCAACCTTACTATCATGGACTAAATATTTATGTCCTCCAAAAATTCATATGCTGAAGCCCTATACCCCATTGTGATAGTATTAGGAATCTGGGCTTTGGCGAGGTCATTAGGTTTATCTGAAATCATAAGGATAGGATCCTCAGGATGGGATTTAATACATTTATAAGAAGAGGTACCCAGGGAGCTTGTTCTCTCTTTCTGTGTCATGTGAGGACACAGCAAGAAGGCAACTATCTCTACAAACTAGGAATAGGGTTCTCACCAGATATCGAATCTGCAGACACTTTGATCTTGGACTTCCCAGCCTCCAGAACTGTAAGACATAAATGTTTATTATTTAAATCACCCAGTATATGGTGTTTTGTTATAGCAGCCCCAACTGATTAAGACACTTACCTAAACAGAGACATTCTATGGTGGATCTTCATGTAAAAAGAAAAAATATATATATTCAAAGAAATATCTTTTCATTTATCTTTAACATTTTTTAGCATTAGGACTTTTGAAATGCAGGTGTACCTGTATTCTCCTGAGATCTTCAAACAGATTTTTAAAATTCAATGTATGTTGCCGTCCAGAAGCCGGCAACTGATGTGCCTCGCCCGGGAAGAGCGCAATGATGGTGCCAACTTGGGCCAGTGAAGCAATGTCCTCCACAACTAGACTGAAGAACAAAAAGACAGCAACTTGTCTGTTCCCCTTCCCCCCAATTCCCCAGCACTGTTCCCATCCCCCCAATTCCCCAATAAAAATCTTTAAAAAAAAATTCAATGTATGTTTAAAATTTTACTTTCAATCATTTCCCATATAAAATGGGAATAAAAGTAAAATTCTTACCAATCCACTTATGGGAAAGTATTTTCAAATGACTGTCTTCCTGCCTCTGGAATTAATTGCTGACTGCCCAAACAATCAAATGTATTAGCTGTAATAATTCCCAGATCCAACCCAAAGTATTCATGTAAGCAAATACCAAGAAAGAGTAGAATTTAAGTTTATCTACAGTTCCAGCCAAAGGATGAGACATGTCAAGAATCAACCCATTATTTCTAGAATTATCTGCAACATGATTCCTAGCTCTTGTTTAATCAAAATCATTTGCTTTCAGAAAAAAAGGAGACTTTTTTTTTGCTTTCACAATATACCACTTTCCATGAATTAATTCATGACAGCCTCATACTAAGTTTCAAAAAATTTAAGAGCACTATTGCTATGAAACCTACTATGATAACTTGCTTCTTGTTATAACATGTGCTGAATGCCACTTTTATATCCACAAGCTGTAAATCCATGCAATCGCCAACCCAGTGAAGTTACCTCTAAAATAGAAGCTCAGTTTACTAATTTCCATTCAACTGTATAATTTTTATCATATCGTTCAGATTTGACTAATACAATGTAATATGGCTTCAAAATCTAGGGTCACTTCCATGCTGAGCACTGACCTTGCTAATTGGCCAGGAAGAATGAGTGGTTTGGCTCTGCTGTAATCCTGGTTTGCCTTGAGAACTTTGCTGACTGCCACCCACCTCCCTCCTATTTCCTAACAGTTATAGTTTGTTGTGTAATGTTTCTGCTCAGAAGAGAGAAAGTGAAGTTACCTAAACATGTCACAAATCCCAAGGTCTCCCATCCCTCTCTCTAAGAGAACTCAGCTGAGTATCAGTGTTAACCTCCTCTTTCAATCTCTACTGCATCTGCTGTTTCTACCTGACACCCACTCTTCCACCTTCTTAAAACTCAACCCTGGTTTTCCTTTGGAAATCCTCGCTTCTACCCTTATCAGTCCATGTGATTAAGGTAAGATGACTTCAACTCTGAGCTCAAGAAGGAGAGTTTGTGACCCGAGGGCAGTTTTGGTCCCTCCTTCCTGCTTGTGCCCAGGCCAATATTTGTTCAAAGTGGAGCCAATGATTTAAGATTAACTGACTCAGAGACAAAGCCAGTTGTGCTGGCATAAAGGGAATTGAGAGGTTCTTGCTTCTTGCTGGGCTTGCTAATGGATTAGATAGAAACCTGGAGTTTTGCCTTTGCTTGGGGAGGGACTGCCTGAAAGCAGTGCTGTCATAGAGGAAAGCACAGACCTGGACCTATACAGATGTAGGATTATTGGGGACATTGTTTGAGCACCTGAATCTAGCTTTGCCCTACCTAACCCATTCACTTTCATTGTTGTATAGCAACAGATTCTCTTTCCTTATTAAGCCAGTTTGAGTCATGTTTCTTTGTTTTTTTTTTTTAACATTTTATTGGGGAATTGAGGGAGGGGAATAGACAAGTTGCTGTCCTTTTGTTCTTCAGTCTAGTTATGGAGGACGCTGCTTTACTGGCCCATGTTGGTATTATCATTGCGCTCTTCCTGGGCAAGGCAGTTGCTCGCTGGCCATTGGACGGCCACTCATGGCAGCTCACGCCAGCTCACGAAAGCTCACGCCAGCTGCCGGCCAGCCCCACTGCAGCCTACGCCATCGCCGGCGACTCACAGAGCCCAGCTCCAGGTTGAGCTGTTGTTCACCATCTTAGCTGTAGAGGGTGCAGCATCACTGGCCCTCATATGGGATCCGAACCAGGGCCCTGCTGCTCAGAGCTGGAGTCCCAAGCCAACTCTTAACCAATGTGCCACTTGGCCGACCCTTGAGTCATTTTCTATCACTCACAGTGAAAGAGTCCTGAAAAATACATTTCATCTTTCATATTGCTGCTAAAATTATCTTTCTAAAGCAGGTTGATTTCTTCACTATTCAAAGCCTTGTTTCCCTTCCTTTCTCCATTTGTTCATTTACAAGTTAGCATTTATGAGTTTGGGATCAAATTAGGTTCTCAGCATACAAAAAGGTGTAAGATGCATTCTACTACCTCCAGAATTTCAGTGTAACAGGAAAGGCAGGTATATAAACAGAAAATTATGAAGTAGTGTGGCACATCCCATGATGGAGTATGTCCAGGACATGACAAGCACAGAGGTGGGACACCTAACCTTGTCTACAAATGAGGTGGGCAGAACTCTTAGAGAAGAACTACAGAGAAGTATCTCTGGGGCAGGTGCCCCTTGAGTTGAGTCTTAAAAGATGAGTGAGATTTTCCCAGGTGAATGAGGAGATTGAAAGGTGGAGGAAACATTCCAGAAGGAGATGACCAAATGAGCAAAGTCATAGAGAGTTGAATTATCATTGTGTCTACTAGGAGCAGCTGGCAGTTCGTATATCTGGAGCTTAACCTCTATGGCAGAGAGTGGGGACAGATAGAGCAGGACTCAGTCACTGAAGGCTGTGTGGACCCTGTCTGCTCTGAATCAGTTCAGATGTTACCTCCTCTGAAATGTTCTTAAATCCATTCCAAGGTGTTTTCATGACCCTGTGTATAGAAATTTATCATTTACTAAGTGGTATGTAGAAGGTGCAGTGTAAATAAAAGGCTCAAGCTATGGAGAAAA